ATGGAAGTCCGAACTAGTGAAATTCATCGAGAAATGATACTCTGAAGGAATTCTAATTTCAATTATCGGAAATCATCGACTTTATGTTGATGATAGACATTACCTTGCACTGACGAGTGGCCAAACAGCCCGAAACCGGTCTGCAAGTGTGTTCCAATAATTGAAAATCTATTTCGGCAGTTATATCGCGAACAACATATGCAGGAATAACTTCAGTGAAGAATCCTGCCCTGATATCTGTCGGATAAAATACAACGCCCTTCTTGGTATTAGCCAGGGGAGTAGTTGCTTTCTGATAGGTGTTAGTTCACTAACCTACAGTGTAGGGAGTTGACACTGGCCTGAACGAATTGTTCCTTTAGATGATTCGATTAAAGAGAACGTTGATTTATAATTCAATATCGCTTGTTCTCGATTTACTTGTAGTGATCGATACCTGCTGCAGCTTGAATCACGTTCAATAACCCTGATGAGAGATTCTCGTAACCGTTTCAGCTTTATTCTTCTCGTTAAATTAGTTCCAATTTGTTATTTTTACTAACTCGACTGTTTGTACTACGTTGACAGTAGTCGTGTTGATGATTACATCATCGCTAGAATTCACGATTATTAGAAACCGAGGTCGCGGGTATCACAGTGTAGTTACAGGGTGATTCGTGTTAGGCATTAAGTTTTTTTAGAGTATGTCTGGGCAGCTACTAACAACACTATGCCAATTCTGTTAGCGGTAAGTAGAGGTTAGAAGAATACATTTTCTGAGCTACAAGCCCGGGGCGTAATTCCAATGAAACAATATGAGCCTTCCTCGCAAAAGTAACAATTTGTGCTAATAGTTGTAGGTCATCTCAAAAATGTTTCTTTGAACTTATTATGAAGATACATGAAAAGTATTCACAAGATTAAACTGATGTGTTCTTCTTTGTTTTACACATTATCTATAACTAACGTTTTTGAACGTTAATTTCAGTTTTGAATTTCAAAACCAAATTCCTGAATGGACAATGAAAAGATCTTTTAACTTATAAATTCATTGTATTTGGCACACCATATCATCCTGATTTAATCCGGATATTAGGGAAGGCCTCAAGTAGGGGCGACCGGTGCAGGACTACAAGCCCCCCCCCCTGCAGGTTTTGCAGATGAAATTTAACACTACTATGATTAATACCTGACGGCTGTCAAGTCTGACATATGGTAGAGTCGAGGGGCCCCGCTGTGATAGATCGCATCGGGGCCTGCACTAGCAGATGCCGGACCTGTTGAGATTCTCTGTGTTTCTCGGTAGCATTATTTAAAAAATGGCTGACACAATATGAAATAATATGGTCAGTTGATCTTTGCTTGAAGAAACCACCTTAAGATTTTGAAGTTCCAAATGTTTAGAAATATGTATTGATTTGCAGCTTTCCTCGTAGTTTTCAATTAAACTGGTAGTTATTTGGAAGATTCTTCATAATTTTTTTCGATGAAGATGCTGTCTTATAACACGAAAGAAAAATCCGTTTTTGTTAGATAAATTGAACCTACTAAACACAATTGCAAGTTCTTTGCATTATCTGGGTTTTTGTGCTAGAAGTTCACAAAAGTGGGTAAAGGTGTAGGTGGCTAATATAGTATATTGAACATAGAGGTAAAGATCATATTATGTAGTCATCACTACACATCGTTATACAAGAATAATGAATTAAATCAAGGTTACGAAGTGAATAATTTAGCGCGGTTCAAGTGGTATTACTGATAATTCAAACGAAACTGCAACAAGTTGTGGTCAGACGACCCCAATTGAGATTTTACGGTAATTATGCAAAGCTCCAGGTTGGTGGTTAAATGTAGACTACCAAATTCTCTATTCCGGTGAAAAATCTGTATTGGCTCATTTATAATCTGAGTGACTCCGCTGTTCATTGTGAAACCCGCAGTTTCGCGATTTTGAACTTTGTTATTGAAATATTTAAACAAGTTTCGGCACAGGAATAATTGATTTTCAAAAAACCAGTATGACTGCCAATTCATTAATTGCATTTTTTTTAATTAAATCACTCATGAATTAAATTATTTATTTGTTTACGTCAAGTTTAAATTTCAGAGTAATCCTGACTGGTCCTGCGTTCAGTTGCCTAGTTTATTTGTCTCGGTCCAGAATACAGTTCGAATACACGAAAAGTTCAAAGTTGCAGTCTCCAAAACAGACGACTGAACCTATTATTACTATTACAATTATTTTTGTGTTCTATTGAAAACACTTTCCCAACACCAGAACCTCAATTACGGTCTATCGACGCGCGTTTCGCTAACCAAGTTACCGTCCTCAGGGGATCATTATGACTGTCAGTCATAGATTCAATAGATTCATTTTACGCCAGAGGTTCCAGCACGAACTATCAAGTATTTTTGTGTTGTATGCCAGAGTATTACTCACTCATTGGTTTTGAAAATCGTGTGGAACTGTTTTACTTTCAACTGCAGTTGCTGCTATCTGGAATCACAAATTTTTGCAATAATAATTTCATAATTAATAATTTTACAACCTACATATGAAATATTGGTCCTTCGAACCGGATAATAGCGATTACAGTTTTGCTATTAATGGAGGAATACTGTCAGTACGGAACTGTTTGTTGAATAATCTCGCAACTTTTTTGCAGTACGAAACTGCCAAGATTGAAGAAGTTGTTATTGCCATCATTTACACGGAACAATAAATTTTAACTTCAATAACATCATACGAATAATAGTAACATTACCTAATGATGATGAAGATTAGCGTGGGCCGATTCTATGAATTACCTCCGTCCATTCATCTGATGATATAAAACGGTGACATGTAAAAGTTCATCTATTATTGGACGGGCGTAGTTGAATGATGGCCAAATATGTGTTGGCGTTTTTGACTGCGCGATTATTAACCGTTTAATTCGATGAATTGTACAAAGTGTGAACATACACTTTTCTGGATCCCTTCTTGGAAGTGAAGCTGTTCTGCATGTATTTCTTGTGGAAAAAGCTGGTTATGAAGGAATGGACCAAATTTCTGAATAGACAAGCCCTTGAAAATATATGTTAAAGGGGAAATATCTGCCATATTTAACTGTCGACAAAGTAATTGTAAATGAACTCATCAATTCATTAAATTGCTCTACTTTTTGTGACATTAAGAAGTTTCAAAGTTTGACGATTCCTATGAGAATTTGTCACTTTACACATTTACCCTACGTTACAGTATTACTGATTGTGATTTCTAGTATGGATAATGGTGTCACAGATGGCATAGCTATAAAATTACTATTCGTTTTGGTAACTTTGAACTACAGATTTGGTGGTTTCTCCATAATTATTTTCACAAGGTATTCGTTACTTGATTGCTTCGCTGGTTTTTCCTTATTCAATAAAAATTGTAACTTGTAGTATGCCATTTTCTATCCTAGTCCAGGGTAAAGATAATCGACCATAGCATCAAGAAGACCAAACCGTTTGGTATAGTAATATTTATTACTACACCAAAGGTTCAAAACAGTGCATCACAAGACCAAGGTAAAGGGACTACTGCGAGGTAAATAGATACAAATATCCGGGGAGGTTGAATGTCTGGGACCCATACTAAATCCTAAACTGACCTGGAACCAACATTCTTCGTGTTTTCCAGAGCAGAAGACTAAATTTGTTGTACTACAAATTGTTTTATCTTGGTTGGTCCAACTGTTTGAACGACAATCGCTACATGTGTGGTGTTGTTTAACCAGAGTCCTATGAAAGCATAGGTGATTCTTGTTTTCTGCTGCATTGTTCTTTCAGTAACATATGGGTCACATGTGACCCATTGTACATCCTCCCGAGGAGTTGTCCTCCTAGGTTCTCGCCCATCCTGTCCTTTCCAGGAAGGTGACCAGGTCACTAGGAGACATCTTCTTTATATTGGCAGGTGTAGGCCAAGACTCGCCGAACACACACTCTCTTTGGCAACCTTGAGGTGTCGCACGGTGGCCTCCGCGATGGTTTTGGAAGGTGCAGCGATATTACTGTCCTTGCGCGGCTTCTTCAACCTTCTTGGGGTTTCCTACGTGGAGGTGCACAAGTGAGGAAGCTTTCCTGCAGGGGCAGACGGTTCCTTGCCTTTATTGAAGGCGGAGCTCTTGGCGCCCGCCGCAGGAAATGTCATTGCTGTGGTAGGTGATCTGCTATGTCCAGCCTCATTCCAAACGGAAGATTGGGGTGGACATTTCTGTTCATCCCCGCCACCGCCTTAGATTGAGGTGAGCACTTCTGTCCGGCCTCGGAATTGGTTTTTGTTTTTATTGTTTCTGCTCACACCTTAGCTTGGGTAGGCTGGTCCACGGTGGCAGGTTCTGCAAATGGTTTTGGGGAGTTTTAGTTCCCCTCACCCTTCTTATTTCTGCCACTGACCAGGAGTCCGGCAACCCTGTCCGTAAGGCCACATTGGCCTCCAGTCCCCTGGCCGCCCCCTATCTGCCTCCTGGGGACGCACCCGATAGGTAGCCCAACCCACAGGAACTACAACAGCTATTATTATGTTTATCCTTTTCGAATCCATTGGTTTGATGGTAACAAAATACTTAACTAATACAATCGATCGAGTGTACAATTCACGTCTGCGGGCAAAACATTCTATGAGCTGACTTGACGATCCACAGTTCATTCATTTGTACGATCAGAAGAACCACAAATTGCACCGTCTGTGGGTCCTTTGAGGAATGGATAAATCAGACGGCAAAAATGATATAGGTTCGTAAGTAAACCCTGTAAACAGTGGTATTGTCGATATTTGTCGATTCGAAACGTTTCGCGCTAAACCCGTTGATCGGGTTATCCTCGGCCAGAAGCCAGACGTTCTGGTTGCCGGTTGCTCATCTACGCCAACGAAGTTGTCTGGCTCGTTCTGGTGGCGTGACCCAATTCCAGCTGGTTGCGCGAATTTTGCGCCATCCTCGGTCACATTTCCGCACTAGTCATCGAACGATAGCCCGGTGCCGCAGTCTCTTTGGCAAGCGGTAGGTCAGGCGTCGCAAAACAGGCGACGGCGGATGTCCTGCCAGCGTCTCATCGATTACCGAAGACGATATCGTCGCGACAGTACACATACCTGCCGGATTTTAGTCCGGTTTTGTAAGTGCGGGTGTATTTTTGCTGGTTGACGATATTCGTTCTACTTCCCGTCTATTTATAAGTGTGACGACCGCGGCGAAAAAATGTGGAAATCGATTCGGTTTTATCGCAAACACGTGTGACTGAAGGTTTTTCTGCGTGAGTAGTGGCATTTGTTTTATTTATGTTTTTCGCGTAGATTTGCTGTTAACTGCTTGCTTTTCATGGGAAATGTTAATTGAAGTTTCTTGTAAATGGCGTTGTTTTTCAAACGTATATGATTATCATGTTTGTTGGTTTAATTATGATCCTCGTGCGGAACTGTAGTCCCGCACAAAGTTGTACAGCAAGAGTTCAGATGATCCATACACAAAAAGAAATTAAAAAAATGTATGAAATTGCATTGAAGGCTAGGCCAACAAAACATAGTTTTGCAGGTGTCATTATTCTTGAATCAAACGTAACTCTCGGGGCTTTGTTTAGACATAATTCAAACAGTTTCAATCACTGCCTCAATGAAATTGAATGAATGGAATCAAATATTCTAATATGATTGTGAGTATATGTTAAAACTTAGCAAAAATGTCTGTACAGACATTCACAGGTTTGATTAGTAATTAGACATTAACTTTACTAAGACAACTCAAATGAATATGTAAATCAGATAAAACTCACCAATACAATGAACAGATACAAGCGACCGAAATGAAAAAAATTGCCAGACTCCACTGATTCAGATAACCTCACGGAAATAAGACAATTGAAACTCTACTTTGAATACTAACTATTTATATATGATATCCATAAATCGGAAGATCTTAATCGAAACTTATAATAAGACATTTTCAATTCGAATGGAAACGTTATTCTGAATTTCAATGAAACCGAAAAGAATACGCGACGTACCGCATCTTGCTGCGTCAAGTAGGTCGTCTATTATTGTTGAATGTTCATGTTCTTGCCGAAATCTCTCGTTCATTATTCAGGTAACAAATTTGATTTGAGAATTGATATTTTGTTCTTATATCGATGTGTTCAGATGAGAATATTTCAGGAAATAATCTTTACGAATACTGCTCGATCTGGAAATAGTCTCAAATAAATGCTCATTTGTTTTGAACTCAAACTTTGTTATTTTTGAGCAACACCAATCGAGCAACCAGTAGTAGATAAAACCACTCGTCCTGTTGTATTAAAGAGGTACCTCATCTTGCTGAAGCGTAACATCAGATGAGAAGTCTTTTGTGTTTGTTAATTATTCGAACCAACCATGCAGAAGAGCACCAATTATTTGAGGGGAGTTTTTAATGAGTAAACAAGAATTGCTCGATATATTGTTTTTCAGAAAAGTTTAATAAAGGGTTAAAACGTATTTTTTATTAAAATTTTCAAATGTATAATGTATCAGATAGATATTTTCAATGAGGAGAGAAATACACACATCGGAAAAGTCTAGGGATATTTTCAAAAATAGCAATACTTTTTTTTTAGATCGCTCTAGGGAAAAAAAAGTTGACGGGTGATTATTAAACGAATGTAACTTACAAAAAAAATTATTAAATGGTCAAAAATACTGAGTGCGCATATAAGCAAAACTAAAAAAAAATATGGCTCTTCTTGGGCACCCCGAAAAAAAATCATAATACAAAAAAAAAATTGGAATCAGTACAAAGTATCGCCTCCACGCTGGTTTATTACGGCCCTACATCTATCGTGCATCGACAAAATGAGATTGTCAATGTCTTGTTGAGGTACATTTGCCTATTCAGCGATTAAAAGCTCTCTCAATTGGAACGTTGTGTGAATGTTCCCCATATGCGGAGTAATTCTTCGTTAAAGCATGTCCCACACATGCTCGATGGGATTCAGGTCCGGTGATTGTGCTGGCCATGGCAATACATCAACTCCTTCGTTGCTGAGCCAGTCAGTCACTAGACGCGCGACATGTGGACGAGCATTATCGTGCATTAGGTGGAAGTTTTCACCAACAGCACCAGCAGACGGACGGACGATAGGTAGAAGAATGGTGTCGAGGTACTGTCGAGCTGTGAGGGAGCGATTTGGAAAAACGAGATCGGTTCTGCCGCCGATCATGATTCCGCCCCATAGCATTACTGTACCACCTCTGTATGTGTAGACTTCCTGGACGTGTCTCAAACGTTCATTATTTCCTTGTCGTCTCCACAGTCTTACTCGACGAGAATCTGGATGAAATCCAAATCTGGATTCGTCTGTGAACAAAACTGTGGCCCAATCATTTGCATCCCAGTTTTGATGTTCTTGACACCACTCTAATCTTCTACCGCGATTGCCTCTCGACAAAGGTGGACATCTAAGTGGCCTTCTGTTGTGGAGATCTGCTTCATGCAGTCGATTTCTGACAGTATCACGACCAATGGTTACCTGGTGCGTCTGCTGCAACACGTTAACCAACTCAGGTGCTGTGATTGTCGGTTGTCTTCTTGCGGTTGTCTTCTTACGGTTAAGACCAAAAATCGGTCTTGAACTGCAGTTGTAGCGCGTCCTCGCACTGGATGTTGTTCGGCTGGACTACCAGTTTCACGGAAACGCCGCCACAATCGACTGATAACACTTTGGGAGACCCCCAAATGAAGAGCTACATCATTTTGTCGCATGCCACCTTGAAGAAGCCCTACAGCTCTAGTCATCTCAGCGAATGGTAAGTGATGACGTTCCATGTTAAAGCACAATATTTCCAGTTTAATTGCTGAGCAAGAACAGCATAGAATGTACAAACTCGACACTTTCAGGTTACTCATTTTAGCCGAAAACCTACAGTTTGTAAAAAACTTGATAAAATATTAGTTACCGTTTTTGCAGGCTTTGTTCAACCCATATAAATCTACAGGGTGGTCGAGTGTACCAATTTAATCGAAATTAAACGACCTCATGCATTTATTTTTATGATATTTAGTATGTTATAAAAATATCCCTAGACTTTTCCGATGTGTGTATATACTCCGTATTCTCTCAAGTTTTAATGTCAGTATGTTGGCGATTATTATTATTTTCTTCAAGACTAGTATTACTTCATTATAAGAGTTTTAAGTACTTGTATGTGTGTTAAGGATACAATCACTGAAAATAGATGATTCATCCAAATTACCATGAAATCATAAAAAAAACCTTCACAATATGATCAGCTAGAAGCTGGTAAATTCTCCCACACCTTGGACATAATAACAGCTGACGGAAATAAGTAATTTTATTGAAAAAAATATTAGATACACATTTCTCCTCTGTATAATAATTCTCTATCAGTGAGACAGATGTGCCAGTGTCTGTAATGCCTGTTAATGTTTACGTCATGTAATACAGATGAAATAAATTATAGCATTTGGTATTATATAAATAGAACTGTTTTGATTTTTTTTTACCCTTCTACAATTTAAAAAAAAATGTTAAAATTATAATGGAGAACTTTATACACGTGTAGAAAGAGCAAACTTTTTAGAACTGTTTTGATTTTTTTTTCACCTTCTACAATTTAAAAAAAAATGTTAAAATTATAATGGAGAACTTTATACACGTGTAGAAAGAGCAATATATTTCTATTTTTGTAACTATACCGATTCTGTGGTTTACAACATAAAACTATCAATTAAGTCTCAAATGGAATCATCGATATTATTTCTTGGGTTGACCCCTCGTTTTGGTCACCAAGTTGAGGTTTTCGTTAATGTATATTAATGATTGATCAAAAAATTTTGTGTAAAAGTGTACTTATACACTTTTTATTTGATAAGTAGTTGGACATTGGAATTGTATTGATGGAATAGTTTGTGGTATTTCTAACCTGAGCGACCTTCAATTTTGAAGTCCATTGTGATTAAGTCGCACATTCGAGGATTATTTTCACTTACGTTCAGTTCGATTCTTGTTGCCATGTGATTCTTTCCCTCAAACTCTCATCAAATTCATCGTACAAATTGAAAATTTAAAACGCTCTAATCTGACACTTTAATTGGATAATGAATTATAAGCCTCATTTCTGGAATCTCACAGATCTTATTTTCCGAAGTTTCGTACAAAATTCACAGCGTGTGTCAAATAAAGCTGACGAAGAAAGGGAAATTAACTATCAGTTTATTGACACATTTTCACAATAGAAAATGACGTATTGAAAAATTGTTATGAATAAACATTGAAACTTGCAAACATTTGTAACACATCATACACTTTATCTTAATTTAGTGAAGGAAATGCCCAGCAAGAAAACGACTAGTGACCAATCGTCTTTACGGGGTACCCCTATCTGGCTGGGGTGGGATGGATAAAAATCTATTAGTCCGTTAACGGGGAACATGAAGGCCTCATTCGACAGAGTGTCGGGGCCTTCTATATCGGGAGGGGTCGTCTATAGCATAATCTATAGCTTCCTTAACTAACGGATTTTCGTGAGTTTCCACGATATCAAAAACTCGGCGATTCCTCGACTGAATGGACTGCTGAATGGACGGCAGCTGCAAATATCTGCGCATGGCTTCATTCCACACGAACCAAGAAGCATTCACAATCATCCTTATTAACTTGATTTGCAATCTCTCCAGAATGGAGATATTATACGTAGCCGCTTGTCCCCAGACGCCTGAAGCATATATGATGACAGGCTTGAACATCATATTGTAGATGGTAATTTTGTTCTTTAGACTCATTTTTTATTTTCTGTTGATCAGAGGGTACAGACTAGCTATCCGACCCTCGATCTTTGATTTAACGCACATAATGTGAGTTCCAAGTGAGCCTACGGTCTATTAGAAGATCGAGGTACTTTACCCGCGCTTGCCAGTCAATCTCTCTTCCAGATATTCTCACTTTTCTGGCCGGAGAAGATAGCAATCTACCAGCCCTCGTTGCATGTAGACGACGCCGAGCTCTCGACCCATGGAAGACGACAGGAGAGCCTTGTCATCGGCGTATAGGGATATCTTCACACGCTCAGGCCTCGGAAGGTCACTGGTGTGAAGTGAGTACAGCGTCGGAGATAGCCCTGCCTTCTGTGGCACTCCAACGAGGAAGAAAACGACAAAAATGAAATCAAATAATTTTTGCAATTGATGGCATATAGATGGAATCAGAAGCCTTCCGTATACCTCATCAGTGCTGCTAGGCAATGTAGATCTCGACTCTCCTTGAAG